CTCAGCCTTCCTGGAGCCCCTTCAGGTACTGGGAGGCCGCTATAAGATCTCCCCAGAGCCTTCTCTTCTCCGGCTGAACAGCCCCAACTCTCTCAGCCTGTCCTCACAGCAGAGCTGCTCCAGCCCTCGCATCATCCTGGTGGCCTCCTCTGGACTTGTTCTAACTGGTCCATGTCTTTCTTATGTTGGGGGCTCCAGAACTGGACACAGTATCACCTGCTGCTGGTTTCTCAGCAGAGAGGAGGTTGGTTCTGGAGCAACAATGACCCTGCAGCACACTTGACTCCACAAAACTACCCGGTGGAAATCTCGTTACAGATGAGATTGGCTCAAAGGTCAATCAATTAACCAAGATTCAAGCCAGAGCCGAGAGAAAAACATTAAAATTCTTCTGAGTTTGTTTGTTTATTTTGAATTCTCTACGGCAGAGGAAGATTCCAGGCTCCATTTAACATCTTTCCAAGCTAGGGAGTTTAGCTTATGAATTCCTTACTTGCCTCAGCTACATTAACTCAATCTCATTAAATTCTACTAGCTAAGGGATTGGGTTTTTTTTTTTTAAAAAGCAAATAAAACATTATCCAGCTGACCATCTGGATATCTGGAGCGAGCTGCTCTCAGTTAATAAACTAGGAAGAAAAGTTCCAAAAGAGCTGCAAATTCAAATTTGGAGGGATTTGTGACCAGCAGGGCTCTCTGTTTGAACTCGTTAAGAGCGAAGTTCCAGCGTTACCTGAACTGCAATCCAACTGGCGTTAACTGCGTGCTCTCCAAACGGACCAAACCCTGCAAGAGAAGGGAAAATCCAGAGTGATGAAGTCATCCTTACAGGTTGGACTGAACTTCCAGTTGCAAAGCAGTCTGTGCTTTCCTGGGTGATAGATCCTGAAAGAAAACTCACTTCTCCTAATGCCCAAACCTTATTTAATTTACATCCAAGTACTGAATATGAGACCTGCACAGAATATCTGAACTATAAAACTTTTACTGTGAAGGAAAACAATAGTTTGCCTCAAAATAAACTCTATTTTTCCCACCCTAACAGTCACTGGGGAAGAGTATTTTTTCCTTCCTGACCAGGTTAGAAAAACTTATGATGAACTTAAGATAAGTTGATCGATGTCAGGGAATGAGAATCATTATTGGATTTTCTATTCCTGATTGTTTTAGCCCACAGGAGATGTTTCCACAAACAACCTGCCTCTAATATTTCTTCTCCGCTCAGGTCTTCACCAAGATCTCTGTCAGCATTAGTTACACCTTACGAGGAAGGTGTAAACAAATACCAAACAACTAAACACACCGACAAGCCAGCAGCAAAAGTTACGACAGCGTTATCAAAAATACTTACTCACCAGGTCTGAATTTCCTAATGAATAACTCAGAGTTAACTAGTAATCCATAACAGCTTTTCCTGAGCAAGCACACAAAGGTTAGGCAATTTATCTGGGTGCAACGTCGATGTGCTTTAATTTAAAATGTCAGAGGGAACTTAGGAGCCTTAATGCAATTAGGAGACATAAATTTTGTCTTAACTCATTGAAAGGATTTGAGAAGGGACCACAAATATTATGTGACACGTTAATGGAAATGTTCTATTTGCTCTCAACAGTAAGGCTGAGGTGATACTGCACACCATGACCTAAGGAATCTGCTCAGCAGGAGCTCGTCCAGTCTAATCTTACAGGCTAACCCACGGCATTATCTCCCCGGAATAAACCTCCCAAAGGTTTCCACAAAATCCAAATGTAGGTGTGTTTTCCCATGAGCAAACCTCCAGTATTATAAAGACAAGCTACGGGGGGGGAAAGAAGTCAAAGAATCAAATGCTTTTCCAGATGCTTCTGCAGTTTAGGGATGTCCTGTGTGACTCTAGAAACAATCAGCCACGAGCTGCTTGGGTTCATCCTAAAGGAATCGTAATAATCTTACACAAGACACAAAATAATTTATATTTAACAATTCAGCTGCTGGAAGAATGAAACTCTCCAGGTGCCCACGCACGTAACATCACCCTCTTCCTCTGAAGCCAAAAGCAAACTGGCACAAACATGACTGTGGGCTCTCACTCCTCTGACTCATCCCCTCCCGTTATCTCTTTGGCAGAAGAGAAGCAACTTTGTCGATAGCATCAAACTCCACCGAGCAGGCCCAGGCACCCACAGCAGGGCTCTCCCAGGCTCATTATTAGCAGCAAACCAGCTGCAAACCATGTTTACGGGGTTATTTCCTCAAACACTTCTAAAAAAGAAGCTGCACACCGATAATAACACCCTCAGCGAGCGCGAGTGAACAAGAACACAACCCACTGCCGGCTTTAAAAAGGAATTTAAGGCGACATCGAGGACGGATTATCAAATAGGGGTGGAACTGAGAAGCACTGTATTTTAGAAAGAGATTTTCCTGAAAACAGGGGGGAAAAGAGAGAGAAGCAGCACGAGGGAGAGGGGAGAAGC